AATAAGAGGTTCTGCGCACTCACCCAGCACATGCGAGGGTAATGCACTAACAAAAGTGCTTTCTTGACAAGGTGCATTCAGTGCAATACACCCTTTGAGGGCCAGCCCCGGAAGCCTGACAGGACCCTGACCCATGCTCCAGCCCTTCTGCTGACAGGACAGCTGACCATGATGGTGAATTCTGATGCAGCTATAAACCATCACTGAGTCGTTTCAGTGTGTATGTTCCAGATTCCAGGAGAGAGAGGAGAGCAGAAGTAGGTGAAAGAGGAAGTTTTGTTGGGTGGCTTTTATATGTGCTTTACTTTTTGTTTATTTACTCAAGCTTAAACAACAGAGAGTGGTGTATAGTACTCCTAGAGGCTCAGCCAGAGCTCAGGAGGCAGTATGGTGGGCTCCAGGAAGGCCTCTTCCTGGCTTGCGGCAGAGGTGGCCAGGATTGGCTGTGCTTTGTCATTTAAGAGGCTGTCTCCATGTTTCTATGACACTGACAGAGAAGTGGGTTTTCCTCATCCTGTTCCTTGCTCTGAAGCTGCAATTAGCCAAAGCTGATTCATTAGCTGTAGCACTAATGAAAATTTTGATAATAAAAATGTGGTACTTAATAAACTCAACCTTTTCTGGAGTAATAAGGTACATTGTTTATTCATTTTGGGTCAGTCATGGGGCTTGAACTCTGGGCCTGAACACTGTCCCTCAGCTCTTCAGCTCAAGTTGAGCGCTCTACTGGTTTTCTGGTGGTTCATTGGATAAGAGTCTCATGGACTTTCCTGCCTGGGCTGGCTTTGAACCACGATCCTCAGATCTCAGCCTCTTCAGTAGCTAGGATTACAGGCCCGGCTGGTACTTTTTTATTGAACAGATCAAGTTTGGGATTAAATTCCAAAAATGAAAAAAAATTCCAAAAATGATATGCATACAATTCTAGTAACTGTATTAATTTTTCAATGGTTTTTTGTTTTTTTGAGAAACCATCTCATGACATAGCCCAGACTGGCCTCAACCTCATGACCCTCCAATATTAGTAATATCCCTATAATTTTAACAGCAAATGCTTTCCCTCAGAGAATGCCAACAGGAAGGTTCAGGTCAGTGTGTCCTGACAATCCTGCTCCTCTAAGTACTCCCTTTTCCTCTACCTCAGTTAAGATCCTAGCATACCTTTATTTATTTTCAGTGTGGTCCTAGGGCTCAAACTCAGGGTTTGTATGCTGTCCTTTAGCTTTTTCATTCTAGTCTGTCACTCCACCAAATGAGACTTGGCTTTCTGGTGGTTTTTTGTTTTTTTGTTTTTGGGTCCGGTCATGGGGCCTGAACTCTGGGCCTGGGCGCTGTCCCTCAGCTCTTCAGCTCAAGGCTAGCGCTCTACCACTTGA